GGGGGGGGGGGGGGGAACGACACGCTTTCCTTTAACTCCTGCTGTCCTGTCCACACATAGCTTAGTTTATGTCTGCAGAACCCACACAGAATCAGAGAAAATTAGGGTTGGAAGGGACCTCAAGAGGTCATCTAGTCCAACACCCTGCTTAAAGCAGGACCAGCCCCAACTAGATCATCCCAGCCAAGGTCTTTGTCTAGCCAGGTCTCAAAAACCTCCAAGGATGGAGATTCCACAACCTCTCTGGCTACCCTGTTCCAATAGTCTGATACCCCCTAAGTGAGACAGATATCTGGTTCCATTTTATATACTTCTATTTCAGCACAATCAATACCCAAAGGAAGGAATACAGTGAAGGAACTACATCCTCAATTACTTTGTGCTTACAGAACAACAAGAATGGTTCACATGTTGATTTCTTTAGGGAAATGTGTTTTTTTAATTACAATAGATGTTAACATAATTTAGAAACAACAGGCAATTCAGCAACAATATGCAAATCTTACTGGATCAGATTAAAGTATAGAATTTTCTTAAATATTACAAAACACAAATGACAAAGCAGTGTTTGCCAACAAAATGCATACATGTGAAGTTTAATGAAAAGCAAACAGTACTGCATTAATTCTTCAAAGAAAATATAGCATATACTATTATATGCAGATCATGGTTTTCAGCCAGCATATGCAAAAATTATCTATATTTCCTCAGTGTTTATTTATCACTTTCCTTTTTAAAAAGCAGATTAACTCTCATAAAATTTTCAGTTATTGTCCAAATTAGAGACAATGTCAAATTAAAAAAAAAAGTCCAGTGTTGAAACAACTATTAATATTCTTACCACTACCACCTACAGTATTAAAAACTTTTAAGGAACCAAAATTATTACTTATGTGTAAAAAGCTACTTGTGAGTTCCATAATATTTTACATGTATTCCAAATCAGTTTTTTTCCAGCAAATCATTTTTCCCTATCTGTGTGAATCTTCATGTAACAGCTCAAAGTAAAATATTTTAATAAACTACAGACAGAGAATGAAACAAGTGTGAAGAAGCTCAGTGACAGGCAAACTAAGATACAATTACAACTCCTTATAAAACAATGACAACATCTGTAATTCACAATTTACTATTTAACGATTTTCCACATCAAACATTATAAAAATGTATAAAAATGCTTAAATTCATTTTTATAAAAAGTTATAATTACAGGAGTCAACAACAAAGATCTGGAAAACCCTCTCAAATTCTAGCCCAAGCCTAAAAGAAATTTGGTCTGGATGGTTTGTATGGTACTCAGCAGAAACTGGCTTCACTCTCTGAAGGAGGAAACAAATAGAAGCAGTTTAACTCCAAGTGGTAATCCTTTTGGAAGTGTAAAAGGCAAAAATGAAATATCAGCCACATTACCCATAAGTGAGAGCAGAAGGGTTTGAGGCACCAATTTACTACAAAAATGGGAAGCAGAACAGATCTCAGAGCTTCATACAAGCCTAGAAGAGCAGCGGGAAAAAGATGAAAGGCAGCAGCAGGAGTTGCACAGCATAGTAGTATAAAGCACAAATGGATTTTATCCGACAGAAAAAATTAGAAAAGAGAATCTTTTTCAGTGAGGGTACACAAGCTTTTTGTTTTGATGTAAACTGAATTTGCCCAGCTTTTAAAGACAGTAGCTACTTTTTCCAATTTGGTTTTAGTTTCTCAGGTAGAGAAGGAAAAAAGAGTTTTTTCAAAACTTGCTTGATAGGCAGCAGACCATTTAGTCTTAATGGGAAAGACAAAAATCATATAATTTACTACACTAATTTTCCAAAGTACTTTAATCAACATAAAATTAATGTTCTCACCAGCACTAAAAAGCTGGAAACTCATTCAAACATTTAGATTGGCAAGGGTAGATTAACAAAGCTGTAACACTAGTGAATATATAAATCCTTACTCATTTTCCAAAATGTGGTTATTTATAAATTCAACTGCATTAATAGAAGTTTCCAGCTATGATCCAAATTCCTATTTTATACAGTCATCTTGTTGAGCAATTGGATAATACACAGCACCATTTTGCTGATAGAAAATAAATTATTTTAACATATATTTGACTCTCAAGTGTTAAAAATTACCAACATTACTGATAATAAATTTGGTCTGGATGGTTTGTATGGTACTCGGCAGAAACTAGCTTCACTCCACTAATCTCCCTTTCACATCGATACTGCCTTTAGTCATTTATCATTTATTAGATTACATATGCCTAGATGGGCATAGATTTTGCAAGTTACGTTACACATTTCTATACAAGTATATCATTTAACATATTTAAATTTGTATTTATCATCATCATAATTTAACACTTAGAAGCTCAGCATAAAATAGTCTAATTTTAACAGATACAAGTAAATCTGCATGCTTACTCTGATCGTAGTCGAGCTTCCATACCATCTGGAAGAAATAGTTTAATTGTGGAGACTATACATCCATGGGTAACTGGAAAGAAATAAGAACAGGAGAGTCTTAATGATCATTTACTAATGAATAATTTAAAGAATGGAAAATTAAAAAAATTAGGTTTAGGAAATATGTTATATTGTAGTAATTATTGGGCCAACCACGCAACTGTGAAGTGAAGGACAAGAGAAGATGAGAGATGTCGTCAAGCACTGACTTCTATTGTCTGTCTGCCTTGTCAGACCTCCCAATGAGAAAGCAAAAGCTGGCTGATCACAATCTTGAGAAGTTGACACTGCACCAACTCTTGACTTAAGGTGAATCTTCCATACCTAGTGGACCTCACAAGATTTCTTTGAGATAAATGCTTATGAACCGACAAGAAACTTAACTATAAATTTTTAACACATTGACAACATGAGAGATCAGGCAAAAAATGGAATATGCCCTCATTGAGTGAAGTGACAGCAACAGAGGTATACTAGATATGCTGAACTACTGTTTACTGGGAAGAGTTCTACTAATCTACACCAGGAAGCAGAACAGTTCAAAGTTAAAAAGACATATCTGTGCTACCAAACATCAAATTCTAATTCCTGGGATCTGCCTAGAAATCTGTATTTACAAACAGAGAAACCAACAAGGGCAGCACAGAGGGTGAGTCGAGAGTTGCTACTCATTGATAATATTCCTGAGGTTGCATCCAAGGAGACAAAAATCTCAACTCAGAAATACTTCTAGAAAACATACAGTGAAAACCTCAGATCTTACCTTCAAGGCTCTAAACAAAGGGCATTTCATATTAAGGACAGGGAGAAAGCCACTCTTCCAGAGGAGGGGGATCTAATTATACTTCAAATCACAGATATGACCTAAAGAGTGAATTTGTGGTTACACAATACTTGATTCAGTTGCATCACATTAGAAACAATCTCGCTATAATGTGGTTTTATTAAGAAAGACCTATCATGGTTCTACAGATACTCATTTAGCAACCATATTTTTCTGTACGATTCAGAAATATGTGACACACTGAAACGGACATAGGAGCCACTCAACAGCTCAAGGTCACCCACCTACAGTCACAAAACAGCCACAAGAATCACTTTATTGTAATGGTTAATAATTTTGCCCCACTGCTGGATGTGGGTCTGAATCCAGCCTGCAAGGAGGCCCATTATCCAGATCTAGCTCAGGAGGGTTAAATGAGCTGTACATCCCTACACAGAAAAGGGATAACATTTTGAAGAGGATTCTGAAAATAGTAAATGATTCTGAAACTAGGAGAAATGAGTCATTTCTTTCTACATCCAATACTAAAACATTTTCTTGTTTAGAGCACAACGTTTGCTTCAAGTTGACCTGGACAAATATATAAATTATTCTCTAGGGTGACTGAAGTCTTGAATAATACCATACCACAAAGAGAGACAACTCTTTTGTGACTCCTTGGCTTCAGACTTGCTGAAAGACCAAGCAACTTTGGAATTCTAAGTTCTTAATAAAACATTAAGCAGAAAGAACAAATTAGTATACTTACTTCTCCCTATAAGTAACTGTAACATCTTTCAGACTACATAATCTATCTTCCTAGTCAGTACTTACTTAGGAGTATTCCTTTTGAGGTAAACCATTTGCTCTATCCGAAATAAGAGCACACAGCCAGCCTGATCTTCAAGTAACATCCAGGATAGTCCTTTGGGACTTCATGTAATTCTGAGACATTTCAGATAAGCAGAATGTAGGGTGCAGACCCATGGCTCTTAATTCTTAGACTTACTCAGTCACATCACTGATATAGATGTCCCTGACATCTATAAAGTAAATAATCTGCTGATGACTGTATACACAGAGATTTGTTTTCCTGACACAGGGGCACCTGAATGAGAAACTTTTGAGGTCGGGTTTTTACAGAAATACTGACTTTGCAAAAGGTGGATATTAGTTATATAATATCCTATGGATATTAATTCAGCACAGCTTGGAGGAACCAGTGGGTGAATCTACATGTGCCATTAAGGTGACATGATAAATTCCAGCACAAATGGCACCAGAATTTATCACAGTGCCTTAATGGCATGTGCAGATGTTTAAACTGCTGTGGTTCAGGGCATATGCTGGGCAGCCCCTGGCTGGCAGGAGACTCAGGGGGTCAGATCTGGGCTCCAGGAGGTGGCATCAGGGAGTGGAGGGACTGTCTGGGGCACAAGAGTGCCCCAGTGTCCAGAGCCCTGTGGCTAAATGGCAGGCAGAGGTCTGGACCCCTGCCGCTTGGGCTGATCAAACACAATGTATACCCGAGTCAGTGTTTACACAGGAGTTTAGCTGCAGTTATTTTCACTGCTGTAAGATAGTACCATCTCTGACAGTACTCCCACAGTGGCAAAAATTCGCTTGCTGTGGTCTAATAGTGTTGCATGTGTAGACTGTGATGCTTTACACCACAGCAAATTAGTTTACTGCGCAGTTCAGCTCAAGTGTAGATGCATCCAGTGTCTATGCTGCAATCCTGAGGGTGCAACATTATACCATTAACTGTGCCATTTGTAAGGTGAACCAAACCAAGGTCGTCTTTGCTTTCTGTATGGAAAATGGATAAACCAACCAAAATAACACAATAAAAAGACTAGTGACTGTTTTTATACCCAAGCATATTTGAAGGCGCACACTACTGTTTGTCCATGCAGTCACAGTATTCTCCCTAATTTTTTTTTGCAAAAGGTTCAGATGCTTTGTGTAAAGGGCTACTGAAGTATCACAGTGGAACTTGGTATTAAAGGAATTCACTACTTTTTATACAGCTTTTCTATAGGCATTCTTCTTACTATTAAGTGTAACAGTTGAAATTAGTATACTGAAATAAATAAAAAAGGGTATTTTTCAATGCATTTACTATGAGCATTCAATACTTGTTCATATTTTGCATGTAATCATTTTCACTGAGCTGCTGTTGTAATTCAGTCGTAATTTCTGTCATATGGACCAGCATGACCATTTAAATCTTATTCACTGGTCTGGATGAGCTAATGTTCCTCTCCAAGAGTTGCACAAGAGCGCTCATTAACAACACAGCATTATATTGTATGCTCTACTTTTCCTGTCTGTAGCAACTACAGCCTTAAGTTCCCTACAGAATCTGGTGGGAAGAATTTAAAATTATGGAAATACTTATTACTATTGCCCATTTCTAGCAACAGATTGAGATGCATTTTCTAGAAATCTTATGTAATTTGGCTTTATTGTCAATACTGATAAAAGAACTGAGATTTAAATTTTTAATCAAAATCTGAAAGGACTTAGAGCTTTTAAACTGTCTTGCACTCACTTACTCCACAGCAGCCCCTTGACATTTTAGTGAGAGTTGCAAGTTTTGCCAAATAAATGTTTCCTAATTGGTTTGGGATGCAACATATTCTCCTAAGAATTAATTTAATTTATTCCCAACATAAATTTCACACAGTATTGAATGGTTGCTAATTTCATGACACTGTAAAATAATTTAGTATTAATGTTTCTTCATGTTCATCTCACAACAACACCAGCTCTTCAAGAAAATCTAGGTGCTCATAAAATGAAGTGGGCTGCACAGGTCTGAAAATTAAATTGGGCATGTTAGAAAAAAAAGTTCCGGTATTCTTGGTTTAGAAAGCAGCTCGGGAATATGGGACAAATGCACACTTGAAGCAGCTTAAGAAGTGAAAGAGGAACTGCTGCTGATCAGAAGTGTGCAGCAGCTGTTATCCTGTGATTGTTATGTGTGCATAAACCTGGAGCCATTCAAGTGAGCTGAACAGCTCCAACACTGAAACCTGGATGAAGAAGGGTTAAGTTGGATCAGTTTTGCTACACTTATACTGCTAAGTTTCAGGCACACCTACAGCATAGCAGCTGTTGTGCTAGTTTGGAACAGCAACTCCTCCTTCACTTTTGAAGCCACTCCAAGTATATGGGGATAGAATAAAAACAACTGAGCAAAGGAAGTGAGCAACAGAATTACTTTCACCCATATTCAGAACATTCACAGGCATAAAAATTCTCCATGACACTTGGTTGAACTGCTGCTCCCAAGTTCCTTTGCACATATTCTTTAAGGCCTTAGTAATCTTTTTCTTTACTATTTCATGTTAGGGGCCAAAGTAAATTCTAGGCTAGAGAGAGACCATATTTATTTATATAGGAGGCAAAATACAGCCAAACAGCAGCAAAATTCATAATATTATTCTTGTTCATTTAAATAACCTGTAAAAACCTACACTGTTCTGGTATCATCTGGTTTTAAAAGTGCAATCATCACCAGTTAAATACCATATTATTTCCCTTAACTCAGGGGTTCTCAACCCTTGGTATGTGGACCAGATCCAGCTGGAAATGCCATGTCATGTGGCCCATAGGGCTCCTCATGCATGTAGACATTTGGCAGCAGGAGAGTGGTGGCACTGCTCCCCTTCTACCAAAATTTCCAGGCCCAGGGAGAGCTGGTAAGCCATACATGCTGGATGGGGTACCTGATCCCAGCACACAGGACCAGGCAGTGGCAGTGCCAACTCCCAGGGCCCAATCCCAGTATGGAGGGACAGAAGGGGGCTGCACCAGGCCCCCAGAACATAATCCCAGTGCACAGGGGGCAGAAGGGGTTGGTGCTGGGCCCCCAGGGCCAAATCCTGGTGTGGGGATGGGGGGCAGGAGGGGGCGCCACCAGGCCTCTAGGATCCAATTCTGGTGCATAGGGCTGGAGGGGGTGGTTCTGGGCCCCTAAGACCCATCCTGGCACACAGGGGGCAGGAGGGGCAGTGATGGGTCCCTGGTGCCCAATCCTGCTGTGTGGGACATGAGGGGGATGGTGCTGGACCCTACAGTCTTATCTAACCCACAGACCAGCCCCTTACCACTCTTCTGGCCCACAGGGTCAAAACGTTGAGCACCACTGCCTTAACACTCTGGTTGACAAACTTAAGCACTGCTAAATTATTCATGTAGGACTTCAGAAGATGGGCAGCTTGCTGATGCTGAAGAAACCATATGGACAGTCATTTTCTCAGGAAATTTCTGAGGATATTCATTACAGGCCTGCAGTTGGTCTCTAGTACAAGCTTAACCAAGAACAACAACTAAGTAGGGACTAACATTGTTTGAAGAAAAGGAACCTCTTTTACAATTAAGAGAGTCAATCAATCATCAACAATATTTTAACACCCCTCATCCCTTTACTTTCATGAGTGTCCCCCAAACCCTACCACCGCATCCAGCAGCAACAGCAGGTATGGCAGAAAAAAAACAAGTGAGCCCGAAAAAACATAGCCCACTTCAGAGTTCTGCAGACCATGCAATCAAGCAATTCCTATTGTTCACACCAGCACCATCTTACTAGTTGAAGATATCTGGGATTCTCCTACTTGGAGGGTAAAAAAAAGCCTGCGTAAAAACCTAAAAAACTAGCAGAAGTCCTCACACAGGAACACTTAAGACTGCCCTACAACATAATACTCATTTTAACACTCTGAAGTATGTTTCTCTTTTAGAGTTTCTTTTCAACAGAATGCTTCCAATAGAAGTGTTTGAGAATTGAAATTAAATTGAAAAAAAAGTGATCCATACCCTTACCTTTCCGCGTGTTCTCAGTCACATCTACACCAAACTGGATGATGTCACCAGACATTATCTCACATGGTGGGCTTTCCTCAGATCCTCTGCTCAGTCTCTGACTGTTTATAAAGGTACCATTACTACTTTTAGTGTCTTGAAGGTAGAACTACAAAGAAAAAAGTTACACTGCAGTAAGTTTTCTGCAAGAAAAAAGTTTAGTGAAATGAAAGCTAAAGTCCATTTTACATAACAGACTCAAGTTATGAATGGGAAAAATATAGAGTACAGACAAATTACCATTTCCTGAATATATTTCTAAATTTCAGATTATGTCCATCCATAGCTTTTTAGTTTTGCTCAAATAAATTGAAGTGTTAAGTAACATATCTGTACATTGCAGCATAAACATTAAGCAAATCTGAGTTACATTTAACCCATTCATTACAGAAAAAGTTAAGCGTGACCAGCAACCCCCTCCAAAAAATAAAACACTTTCTTGCAGTGATCACACTAGCATTTATGATTGTATTAAAACATCTAAAAATTAAAGTTGCAGCTATATTCTTAAGATTCCAGTTTTCCAAGATGTAAATAAGCCTTGCTGTATAACATGGCACTGGATGCAGAAAGAAAAGGATGAGGAACTAGGACACATAATTATAGGGATATCTTCTTCCCACCACCACCATGGATTCCCATGAGAAGAGTGAGCTAGACTAGAGGGATAGATGTTGCACCCCAAATATCTGTACCCCACATGGAAAAGTTAATGAGCTGAAAGGAAAAAACAGAAGAGGCCCATCTTCCCACTGCCCTTTTGTGTATACATCTGCCTCTTCAATATCTGATTTCTTACTGCCACCTGTAAACTCACTCTTGCAGAACCAAAAGGTGATGAAGGTACATAAGCTCCACAGAGGCAATAGGGGAAAGGGGACACAATTCTAGTACATGAAAAAGGAAACACCCACAAGCATAAAGACATGAGCACACAGACAGCCAATATGCACATGATCAGAGGTCAGGAAAACAGACCTTAGGATGAGAGGCTGAGAGCTATGGGACTCTTCAGCCTGGAAAAGTGCAGGCTCAGGGGTGATAGCCACCTATAAGTTTATAAGGGGTGCTCACCAGGATCTGGGGGAATGTCTGTTCACCAGAGCACCCCAAGGGATGACAAGGTCGAACGGTTATAAACTCCTCTCAGACAGTTTCAGGCTGGACATAAGGAAGAACTTCTTTACTGTCCAAGCCCCCAAGGTCTGGAATAGCCTGCCATCAGAGGTGGTTCAAGCACCTACTTTGAATGCCTTCAAGAGAAATCTGGATGTTTATCTTGCTGGGATCCTATGACCCCAGCTGACTTCCTGCCCCTGGGGCAGGAGGCTGGACTCGATCTTCCGAGGTCCCTTCCAGCCCTAATGTCTATGATATCTATGTGCACAAATTAAACTAAAAAAAACCTCTCATACATAAAGCTACAGTAATCTTGTGTGTTGCAATTAGCTACAGTAGAGAATTTCAAATGGAAAACTGATTTTCAATTTGCTGCCCTTTTATATGCAATCAATTTAGTTTTCACTGCATAATTAATGCATTTAAGTTTTAATTACCCTACACTAAAAATTATAAAAACCACAGTAAGAATTAAAATAATTTATTTGGCTAGTGCAACTAGTAAAAGAAAATCCCCCTGTAGATGTTTTAATCAAACAGATGCTCAAGTGTAGATACACAGTTTTTCAGAACTAGAGATATCAAAATCCTACAAAGTCATCTTGCCTTCAAGATGGTTGACAAATCATTTGATCAACAGTGACTTTTTTCTTTACAGTTGTTAGTAGCAAATTCAAGGGTTTCTTCCAAGTTTGTTTCAACTTATTCAAATGATCTTTCTTATAATCCCCTCATCATTTTAGCTTTGTCTCACTAATCCTGCTTTAAAACTTAAAGGAAAAAACCAAAACCAAAACAAACACGCACCTTCTCCCTTCCAAAACTGCTACATTTATCTGGACAGTCCAGTTGTATGCCTCTCATGCAACAGGTTACATCCCTGGTTTAGATCAGGGGGTGCAGAGCAGAAGTACAGCTCCAAGCTGTAACTCAGCACCATTTCTGCAAAGCACAGAGTTACAACATTACCCCAGAACAAACAGAAGTTCACTGTTGGTTCCAGGGGGAAGGGAATCTAGGCCAGCTGGAAGCCAGCAGCCAGGTTCCCATAGCAATGGTCACAGCTCTCTGCCAATGCTGTTTGCAGAATGGGAGGGGGGAAAGGCAGAGAATGAAACTCATTCTTGGGGCTCCCCAGCTGGTGCTGAAAGGTGGGGTGGGTGAATTGGAGCCCTCCCCCCCACGAGGGAGCTCCAATACACTTGCCCCACTGTCTGGGAGAGGGCAGATAAACCCCCAGACTAAACTCCCCCCGCTCCCTTTTCCCCTCCCATTCTGAAAACCGTGACAAGTTGGGATCTCTCCAGACACAAGTTACAGAAGTCGCAACATTATGAAACGTCTTTATCTGACACCTCATGCAATGTGAAGTCAGCTTTTCACCCAAGTAGCGTTTTTTAAAGCTGTCTATAGCCATGCATTTGTGACAGCTAATAGACTGCTTTCTGTGGCCAGATCAGGCAAAAATTGTCATTTGTCTGCACCCATAATACCTACATGCCTGCGCCCCTAATACCTACATAACCAGTTTAAAGTTGGACATTTCTTTCACCCTTCAAAACACATGCATGCACCGCATATCCACTTAGACTAGTGGTTCTCAACCTTTTTTGTACCAGGACCCATTTGTAAACTTCAATGGCCACTCCCAACCCAGTGCTCCTCACTCCTGACCCATTACCTCCCATGCCACCAGGCACCAGCTCCCCAGTATATGTAGGGCAGAGGGTGGGTGCATGGGGTGGGGCAAGGGGAATGGGGGACCACAAGCAGCCACGTGCAGGCTGGAACTCTGCCAGCCTGCAAGGGAAAAGCCATGGTTTCCCATGTTTTTCTCCTTTAAAGGAGAATACATTTTTAAAAGTTGGTTGATTCACTTTTAAAAAGTTTGTTTGTGACCCTTCCATATATTCTTCCAACCCACTTTTCAGTCATGACCCACAGGTTGAGAAATGCTGACTTGGACAGTTTACTGTCCACGAATCCTGATTTTAAAAAACTCTCAAGTGGAATTATATATCATATTTCACAGTGTGCAAGTCAAGTTTTAAAGCCCAATTTGTGTCTTAAAACTCAAATTCTACTTATATGATGTGCCATGTCAAAAAAAATTAAATAAAACTGGGGACAGCAAGCAGTTGGCAGAGCCAATCGCACCTTGCCCTGCATCTGTAGGTGCTTCACAAACAGGTCCAGGGAAGTGATTCTCCCTCTCTATGCGGTACTGGTCAGGCCGCAGCTGGAGTACTGTGTCCAGTTCTGGACGCCACAGTTCAAGCTGCGGACAACCTGGAGAAGGTCCAAAGAAGAGTCACTTGCCTGATTAGAGGCCTGCAGGGAAGGCCCTACGAGGAAAGGCTAAGGGACCTTAACTTTTTCAGCCTCTCCAAGAGAAGGCTGAGAGGAGACCTTGTGGCAGCATACAAATTCATAAGGGGAGAGCAACATGAAGTAGGCGACAATCTGTTCACCAAGGCACCCCCTAGAATGACAAGGAACAATGACCATAAGCTACTAGTGAGACCGTTTAGGCTGGACATTAGGAGAAAGTTCTTCACAGTCAGGGTTGCCAGAATCTGGAATGGGCTCCCAAGGGAGGTGGTGCTTGCCCCATCCTTGGGGGTCTTCAAGAGGGGACTGGACAGGCACCTGGCTGGGATCACATGACCCCAGGTTTGGTGACCCTTTTCTTGCCTGCCAGGGGCAGGGGGGTCAGACTAGATGGCCCACTGAGGTCCCTTCCGACTCTATGAATCTATTCCCAGTTCTACTAGTTTTGCACTTGAACCAAATGAAGAGTGGCCTATATACTCTGACCTGTACTGAATGGAAATGACAGTCCTCATTTTTCACAGTTTACCTTCTATGTCACGACAGCCATTATCCCCACTAACAGCAATACCAGTAACTTACTGAAGTAGAGGTCTACCCCTAATCTAAATATACAAGTGTTTAAATAGATATTACTACACTGCTTTTCTAGAAGTTTCTAGAGGTTACTTGTTTAACTGGTGAGGTACAAAGAAATGGGATTCTTCTTTACGCTGAGAATGGCTAGTGCAATAATCTGGGGAATCTGCATGTATTTAACTTGAATTTATTGGCTGTTCTTATGTGTTTTTTGAATCACTTACTGACTCAAAGGACTAACTGCCATGAGTTATCAGCATGGATCCTAGTTTTCCATAAAAAACAAAATGCTCCAATAAAAAAAATCTGTTTTTTTCTGCAGCAAGTCTCCTCTTGCCGCTGACTGGCCAAGAGTGCTGCTCTTCAGGTAGCAAAACCCCTCACTGCTGATTGGTAGACGCTGCACAATCGGCAGACCTCTCAACCAATCAGTGGTGGAAGGAGGAGGATGGGGATGCCATTTTGGCTACTTCCCGGAGTGTCAGCACCTTCTTCCCTGGAGGGCTGCTGCAACAGCTATAAGAACTGCTGGCTCCCACTGGAGCATTTTATTTTCAGAAAGATTTTTTTCCAGAGATTATAAGTATTCTGTGTAAAAGTGTAACTTCTGTGTTTTGCTGAGGCAAACTGATTTCTAGGATCCCTGGTGATCCGAAAGCAACTCCTTCCTCACGCCCATCAGTTTCTATAGGAAGTGGAACACTGTCCCAATGAAATTTGAAACAGCTACATTTTGTGTTAGTTTAAGCTACTGAAGTACAACCTCTGGCTAATCAATAAGTAAAGAAGTTCAAATAATATGTTTTAATGTTTCTGTGAACAAAGTTCTAACTTTAGGAAACATGAAATGGATCTTGTCAGCAGACCAAATTCAATGGAGAATAGTTAAACCTGGCAACTGCACTGATTGATCAACTGGTATGGTAGAAAAAACAGCTGCAGCTACTTCCCTTCTCAAAGTGCAGGGAAGGGCTGTGTGAACTGGACATTTCCCAAGCAGGTCAAAGGGAAAGAGATGACAAAGGAGGAATTAAAAAGGGACTCTCAAAAGGAACAAAAGGGGAAGCCACGCAGTCACAC